TATAGTTGGGTTTTGAGGGGGTTATGGGCTACCAGAACTTTAGCGCCTTCTAAGCGCCCTGATAAGTCCCAGTTAGCGAGCGCTGAACAGGCGTCTACTGACCCTTCGAGGGAGCGCTATGGGACTTCGAACACACTAACCTACCCACAACGTGGTTGAAGCATGGATGGATGCTGGGAGGACACTAGGAAGCATGTATCGAGTACTTTGTGGGTTATTGATGGGCGGAATCTCAATGTGACCACCATTACCGTATGGGTTTTGAGCCCTAGAAGGCTATGGGTTATGGGGTACTGGAGACCTATGGGTTATGGGGTCGAATTCCCCCTATCCCGACTTGGGAAAGCCAAAATCCTATGGGTTTTTACAGTTTATGGGTTACCAGGGGTATGGGTTAGGAGGGTGTCGACTGTACATGGCACTGCGCGTCTCTCCTTCGTCCCATCTGCTCGTCTCATTCTTTTCGCCCCTGCGCGAACTTGCATTCGTCCTGGTCCTCCGTCCTGCGCTATCTGTATTTATTGCTGCCACCGTATCTGGCGTGTAGGGCTGGCTCATCGCGGGCCTGGAAGATGTCATCTCCGACTCTGATTGATGATACGAACCCGATAGTGCAGTACGAGGCTGGATGGATCTGGGACCAGAATGTCAACGAAGTGGACGGGACAAGGCACGGTGCAGGTATTGCGGGCATCACGGCTTCCTTGAGCTTCGCAGGTGAGTTTGACCATCCTAATCCCATACATTGTGTATTCACCAGCGTTGGCATCGTGTCTCCTCGTCAGGGACTGGCGTCCAGGTAGTGGGGACGCTCGAATCCTCCGACCATTCCGGCCAGCCAACGACGTCGTATGCCATCGATGGAGAAACCGTTGGCACTTACACCGCGCCCTTCACGCCTTCTGGGCAGACGCACTACAACGTCACGTTTTTCTCCAAGCCCGATCTATCCTCCGGTGATCACGAAATAGTCATCACCAACGTCAATGGGACGAGCCCGAACGTCTTCTGGCTTGACTATTTTCTCGTCGACGCTGCGCCACCGTCTTCTGGAGGCGGTACCACTTCTTCGTCATCGACGTCAACGTCAACATCTACGTCAGTCACTCCTTCCGACTCACTATCGAGCACAGTCATTACCGTTGTATCTACGAGTACATACACTTTCTCCACCACATCGTCACAGGGGGTTGGGTTGCCACCGTCCTCACCATCTAATTTATCTTCCTATCCATCGTCCTCTTCATCATCTTCATCTTCGGCTTTCTCTTTCGCTAATTTGACTGCCACTCCGTTCAGCGACACCACAAACACGCTTGCTCAGGGAAGTCTCCCCACGAGTGCAACTGCTGCTCCCACCACATCCGGCGTAGGGTCAACAACTCCAGGCGCAGTACGGTCTTCTGACCACTCCAACACCCACGCAATCATTGGGGGAGTGGTAGGCGGAGTGATATTCCTCGCACTCCTCATACCTCTTTTCTTCTGGTGGAGACGACGCCAGCAGAGGTCGCTCGATGGTAAGTCGATTGTATTGTGAGACTCACCGATCGCTCAATCACCCCTTAGACGTCGATCCGTTCATTGCGTCAGCCCGCGACCACACTTGGCACAGCGGAACGCTAGCCTCCACTGGCTTCGAGTTCAAACCTTCCAAGGTTCCTGAGATGTCATTGACTGCGACCACGGCCTCCCCAACCGCGTTCCGACAGACCGTGTCGTTGAATGCTTCGGAGCTCCCTGCCGCCCATCCGTCAGAGCACGGTTCGCCCACCGTCACCCTGGGCGATACACCAGCCGCACCGACGACGTTGCCATCACACCAGTCCCCGGGCTCCCCAGCAGGGCCTCTCCACACCGACGTGAAGCTACAAGACGCAGTCCCCTCGATTCCTTTGGCGGCAGCTCAGTCCCAACCGCACATCGATCATAGTCCCGTTTCCCCCTCATCGCCCCACTCTGCCGCAGGCTCAGCTTCAGCGTCCGAGTACGCTCTCTCCGAGGCTCCGATTACGCCTGCGCCTGCAGATGCCGAAGCGTCTCGCGCGCCGTGGTATGCGCCGCCCCAGCGAGAATCGCGTGCTCATTCTCTCCTCCGTGTGCTCTCGTCGCGCAACAGGCCTGTGCAGCAGCAGCCGACGCATGATGTGGACTCGGGGCTGAGGCTGTATAACGAACCCACCTTGCCACCACCTTATACTCCGGACTAGTTGTAGGATACGCATATATATTTGTATGCGGACTGAGTGTAAGCCCCACTCTACGTCATGGCCTTACTTGACACTCTTCACATATTACGTACGCATACAGTTATATAGTTGACGTCCTATACCGTGTCTCCTAGCTCTGCTCACCACGGTATAGGTACGTATTCTCATACACATGTATTCTAGCTCTGCTCACCACGGTATAGATCTCGTTCTAGTTTTACATCCCGAGCTTCAGTGAGGAGGTTCTGTGAACCTCCTTTCACTTTTTTTAAAACTTCGAACGAACGCGCTGTCGCCACACCCGACGACGCTGCTCGACACCCAACGCCCTCAGTCAACCTGTCGCCGTTCCGTGTAACGCGCAGTCGCTTCCGCGACTTCATCAACCCGTTCCCGTTCGCCGAACTCGAAGGACACGACCTCGCCGAACAACTGTCACCCCCTGTCGAACTCAACCCAGTCGATTCCCCGGACCCCGCCAAAGAGGATAGTGACTCCTCATACTCCCTGGTCAGCTCACTCGCATCCCTGCAATCACTGTCCTCCGCGGACGCAGTTTTGGAGCCCGCGGCACTCATCCGAGACGCATATACCCAAGTTGAACCCCCCCGGGCGCTCTCCGAGTCCCCTTCCCCGTCTCCCCCCAGCTCCCCACCTGCATATATCCATCTCACCCCGCGCAACATGCCTCCTGGCGACGCTCCGGTCATGATGATCCCGAAATCGGCACCTGGAATCGGTAATGGCAACATCACCCCCTCGTCATCAACGCCTGGGAACACGGATGCCTCCAATTCTTCCGCGACCGCAACATCGCCGAAGAGGACAAGGTATTCAAGGCCTGCATGTATATCTCCCACGACATTATCCGCGACTGGTACCGCACCGACAGCTGCCGCTTCGATGGCATGGATTTCGACGAATTCCTCGCTGAGCTACGCGCGAATCACCTCCCCATCGAACGTGGGACGTCGACATACAAGACTCAGATCATGAA